TCTTCTATAGTTCATCTTTTCCTTCTCCAGATTGCATGTGATTTTCCAAACAGTCATGAAACAGTTTGTAAACAGGGCGAAAGTTTTTGTTAGAAAATGTCATAGTACTCTGTAGGTGTGAATAGGAGAAAACAAATGTTTAACATTTTCAGTCATTTATTCTGGTAGAAAGTCATTTTGCTTTGAAAGTTGCCAGGAAAGATTGTTTTACCTGACAGTTTGTTACAGCAAAGCTCTTTTCAGCTCTAAATTACAATATATGTATGAGTGTATGTTTAGAAGTACTGATCATTTTAGGACTGTGTGGGATCAAGGGTTAGTGTCACCTGTGCACACAGTGCTTCTAAGTAAAACTGAAATAGATTTTATTATCACATATCTTTTATAAATTGTGTTGCAGCAATCAGTTGGAGCCTGCAATGAACAAATGTGGAGCCACTTGAGAATAATCTCTAATCATTCTTGTGAAAATATTACAGGAGCGTTTCGTGTTTCCAAAGTGTGATCCTTTGTTTTTGTTACTTGCCAGGTATGATATGACACTAGCAAATGCTTGTGTTGCCTTGAGCCAGAGATGGATCCAGGTGAGTGGTTAAAAACACTGTGATGCCTGTATCTTGAGAATCTAGTTTGTACAACATGAGCCCTTCTTTGCTGAAATCCATCGTTTGCTGAGCCAATGTGTGTTTATGGCTGCCAGGGATATTGGATTTCACAGACTAGCATTTCTTCATAGAATCTGGATTAGCTATGACTTAGGTCTGTGAAGTGCAGTACATATTTTGACAAGAGACACAGCCAGTCTTTTGTTATGCACATGTAGTAACCAAAGTGAGAATATTCTTTTTGAAACCCTGATGTTACGGCTTGATTTAAAAACAAATGCCAAAGTGTATCTACATTACTGTTTGTATTGTAGTAACAACAGTTCCCCTATATTATAGTGGTGTTAGTAAGCATTTCCCATCAAAACCTGAAATACATAAATTATAATAAGTAACTAATACCATATAATTTTTTCATGATTTTAACCATAAAAATCATGCAGCTAATAGAGAATTCACCATACCTTCCTTACGTTAGCTCTGTAGCTTTTCACTGTATTTGTATGTTATCTTTTAACTTTCTTCTTAATTTTTATTAAACAAGTATTTGATTTTTCACTTAACTAACAGACAGTGGAGATAAAACAGTCAGTGGGAGAGAATAAGTGGAGAATGCAAACATCAGGCAGCAGCTTAAGTCCCTCCATTCCTCTTATTGTAGCATCCTGCACAGACACAAATTGGTGTCTTTTTTATGTGAAATGGCTCAATAGTAAATGCAGGCGTCTAAGCAGAAAATTACACCTTATTGTACTTTGAAACACCTATGAAAAATTAAGTAACCATTCTCTTTTAGGCAAAACAAAGTGATTTGGGCTCGTTCAGCTCAGCAGACTTGAAGGAAATGTCATCTCATCAGCTGATTGAGTTCCTGGCTCTGTTGCTTCTGGAGGTAAATGCACACCTTGGGGTGACTTGATTCTGGTATCACAAAAGCAGACAGAGAACCCTAGTTTGCTTTGGAATTAAGTTGTTCATTTCCTTTTAAGCTTTGCTAAGTTAATCTACTCTCACCATACATAGTTTTTTAAACCTTCATCTATGCCTCCCTGATTATATCTGGCTCTTCAGCTAATGAGAAACATGTAGAGTATTTTGGATTGAAAGGTAAAAAAACTATAAAGTGCTTGAATTTATTTGTATTTGATGTTACAGCAAACAAGCTATAAATACAATGGAATGAAAATACTTTGTTGTGATTGTTTTGGTAGTACTGGTATGGGAATTAGCTGACTGGTTCCTTGCCCCTTCCCTAGTACTACGAAAAGGTGCAAGGAACAAATAAAATATTTGTCACTGTAAGCTTTCAATTCCTTTGTAGCATCTATCTTTTTGAATTCTCCTGTTTATTTCTGAAGTATCTGGCTTGCAGTGTTCCTCTGGCTTATTCTGACTATGCAATTTGTTTTGCAGCCACCTCTTCCACTGTCACATGTCCAGCGCATGCAGGAAGTCTATAACTTCAACGCTATACACAACTCTGAAATACGATTCAGGTTTGTTTTTATCTGGGCATTTTTCTAATCTTAAATGCTTTCATAAAAGTGTCCTGCTTCACAAATAGTCTGAGACATCCTGTTGTGCAGAACTGCTGCAGGGTTTGGGGTTATTCGTGTTGTTATTGTGGGTTTTTTGGTAAGTACCTGTGTGAGTTTGCTTACCCAAGTGGTATTCTGTTACTTACGAATTGTGTCAATACAGTCTAACAAAAGATCTCAAAGTGGACAGTGGATTAGCTGAATTGAGTCAATACAGTCTAACAGAAGATCTCAAAGTGGACAGTGGATTAGCTGTGCTTTATTTTAATCTGTCACGATAGCAAAGGAACCTGATAATTAGATAACCTATTTTGGGGGTGGTGTTGAACAATACAATAGTGAGCCTCTCTGCGAATTAAAGATGCTTGAACAATCTTTGCAATATTTAGTCAGCACTTGGTCTTCTGCACTTAAACCTAATTGATTCTTCGGCTGATGTGCCAGTGTTTTTTTCAGCACAACTTGAAAATTTTTCTTGTCACATTTTAGTGCTTACTATTGCAAAGATTTTGTCTCATCAACAGAAAAAAGTAAATATCAAAAGAGAAGTTTCTATGCAAGCAGGAAGTGCTTCTGGCTAAATGGCTTTCTTCTTGTGCCGTCCTAATTTCTTCTATTTTGTATTTGCACATTGTGTTTACACATGCCACTTGTTAGATAAAGTTGTTGCTGGGGACATAAGTAATCTTTACAAGTATCTTGAAGTATTGTGTATTTTGCTGCTGTTACCTACTCGGATACATTTGCAGTAGTCTGTAGTCTGTTCTGCCTTAACTAACTTTGAGTAATTTTTTCTTATTAAAAAACCTAACTATTTTAAATATATGGTATAGCTTCTACTTCTTGTAACAAGATCAGTTTCTTCTTATTTTCAAAACAAAACAAGCACATGCCAGTAACTGGTGACATTTTGTTAGTTTTTTTGTTGGTTTGGGTTTTTTCTTAGTCACTTGGTCAAATATGGCAAGTGCTATATAATTCAGCTTTAATTCTGAGTGATGCAACCGGGCACTAGTGTGGTATAAAAAATACATAGCTGCAGAAAATAGACCATTTTAGAGGAACTTTGATGCAATTTTTTTCTTTTGTACAGAAAAGTTTGCCTTTGTAACATGCTAGTCAAATACTAAATATTTTATGTTGAACTTAGCTGGAATCTCATTCTCATGATGACACAGCAGTGCCCAGTGTGTTTGTGGGAACAGAATCATAAGGTAACCAACCAACACACCACCACAAATAAAAGTGCAAATTTTTTCTTCCTCCCTGTCTTCAGGTGGCTGCGCCTCTGTATCAGGTCCAAGTGGGAAGAAGCTATTCCTCTGGCTCTAAAAATGGCAACTGATCAGGGCAGAATGAAGTTTACTCGACCCTTGTTCAGGTAAAAGTAATCTCCCGATTGTAAGAGCTCGTGCTGTTGGCCTTTGTAGTATAATGGAATGTATCATACTTGACATGCATTTATGGCACGCTTTGAAGTGGTATAATACAGAATTCTCTGTATACTGTGACTCGTCAGAGTCCCTTTCCACTTGCTGATTTTTTTTTTTTCATAGAGGAAAGCTTAGTCTCCCAGTATGCACCATAAGACAGGGCTTTAAGGAAAAAAACCAAAACCTTGAGAAAATCTCTGTTGTACTATATTCCTAGATTTTTGTAATGGTGCTTCCCCTCACTCTTCTTCTTTTACAGGGACCTTTACAGTTTTGACAAGAGTCGAGATCTGGCTGTCAAGACATTTCTGGAGCATAGAGCCTCTATGCACCCAGTCACTTCAATGCTTGTGGGCAAAGACTTGGAGCTGGACCAGTGACAAATGTACTGACTTCTTTGAAATTTTCTTGTTGCTGAAAGAAGAGACTGATTGGCCAAACTGTCGATATATGTGCTTGATTGTCATAACATGCTCTGCTGCTTTGGTACTAATGTAGCTTAAAATGAATCTTCCAAATCAGGTTCAGTACTTTCTATTTTTTTGCATTTCCAAATGAAGCCGCAAAATTGCTACACCTCTGCAACTGGGAGAATGTTTTTTGTTACAAGCAATTTTTAGAACACACAAAAAGCTGTTCTGAGATGTAATCATGTGTTGGTGATAGAACTGAAAAACATGGACAATTAATTGGTAGATGGTGTGGCTCTTTGTGCACAGCATTCTGTTCCATAGCACGGTAGTTGAAACTTCAAGTATCTAAAGACTAAAAAAAATAAATCTTTTCATTGCCTACTTGTATGTGTGTCGATCTGTACAAAACGTTTTGATTTAATAATTTTGTTTCATTTATTCTTCTTTGTTGAGGGACCAGTTTTTATTATGGGTCCAAGGGGACTATGAAGACCAAAAGAGTTTTCAACCCACTGTATATTTTCAAAACTTATTATTGCAGGGGGGACTAACACCCCAATCTTTCCTTTTTTTAATATTTGCATTTTTTTACCAGTTCTGAGCATTACCTCTTACGCTACTATAACAACCTAGAGGTAAGTTTAAAAACAATGGGAGAGCTGTTCTTCCTGTGTATGTTGCAGTGCTGCAGTTCAAGCCGATGGCTTAGGTGGTGCTGTGGTGAATGCTGCCATCTCTAGGTTGGTTTTTGCAGCGAGTTTGACAACGACTGCTTTTCCTGAAGGTCACCAGTTTGCAGAAATTAAATCTGTTGGCACAGGGATAACTATTCAAGGAGTAACAAACAAAACCAAAATGTGCTGGTTTAGAGGAGGAGGATACCGAATATAGGTTGTGACAAGAGGCTTGGATTTAATAGCACTTTGGATGGGAGGGGAAGGCCTGTCAATTGGTTGTTTTCTGGTCTGAGTTCTGATCCTTACAAGCTTTCAACTTGTTGTGGTTTAACTCCAGCTGGCAACTAATCCCCACGCGGCCGCTCGCTCCCCCTGGTGGGATGGAGGAGAGTATTGTAAGAGTAAACCAGAAAACTCGTGGGTTGAGATACAGACAGTTTAATGTGTAAAGCAAAAGCTACAGACACAAGCAAAGCCAAACAAGGAATTCATTCACTGCTTCCCATGGGCATGTTCAGCCATCTCCAGGACAGCATCATGCATAGCAGTGACTTGAGAAGAAAAACCCATAATCCTGGGGTGTCTTGTACAGCCCTGTCCCTCATGGAGGTTTTTGTTAGTGTGATTTTACTGCCAGATGATAACTCTGTAAGTCATGTTAAATTACACTTTAAAAACATTTGCACTGCATCTTAGTTCAATTTGTCTGTTCTTAGTACATAACCTTCAGCTCCTGGATTTTCATTTCTATATTCCTGATGTGATCTTTGGGAAAAAAAATTCCTGTGGCAATAGCTTTGGTGGGGGGTTTTGCCTTTCCATGAAAAGGGTGTATTCCCTGGGTTTGGTTTGATTGGATGAAGTCAGCCAAATATGTCGATCCTGCTTATTTACAAAGGTGGGGATTTTGAGGGTGGATTTTTGCCTCTCTCTGATTGCAACACTTGACTCCAGATTAGACACTGCTCTTCAGGCCATTGCATGGTAAACGTGAAACTCCTGCACACTGCAGCCCTTCTTGGTCAAGGAATAACTTTTGGAGAGAAAACATGCCGAGATACACGGTGCACGTCCGAGGAGAATGGCTGGCAGTGCCATGCCTGAGCCCCACCAACACGATCGAGTGGCTGGGAAAGGAAGCTGTGAGACGATACATGAAAAACAAACCTGACAATGGGGGATTTACCTCAGTGGAAGAAGTAAAGTTTTACATTCGCAGGTGCAAGGGACTTGGCCTGCTGGATCTTGATGATACCGTGGAGGATGCTCTAGAGGACAACGAATTTGTTGAAGTTGGTAAGCAAAACCTTAAGCAACACATTGCAGATTGACATCTGAATCAGCAAAGTGTGGCTTTAGATTAATCTAAAACTGCATTGTCTACAGTTTTTATGAAAAATGCCCAATGATTTAAGAATATTTGGTTTTTAGGAGCAGAACAATGTAGTTTAGAAGGTACAGGATTCTATATACATCGTCTATATATGCTGTCAGCTGTTCTGTGTTTGCCTTTGAAATACCTTAAATAAATACATTCTTCCTTGTTATTTTCCCAAGAGCATACAAATATGCTCAGGACTGATAACTGCAAATTAGAATTCTTACTGCTGTGTACTGTAATGAATAACTAATTTATATGTTTGTGTCTATTCTGCATATTTCTTCTAGTTATAGAAGGAGATATAATGTCTCCAGATTTCATACCATCTCAGCCAGAAGGAGTTCATTTGTATCCTTTTTTGAGTGCTTTGTGAGCTTTTTCCAATTCCAGATTTATCACTTTCTAGATTCCCCTTGTTTTTTTGAGTTCCTTCATTCTTAAAACACACTGCCAACTGTAATCAAGTGGTCACTACCTGTGAAATCCTGTCTGCCATTTTTCCTTCACAGAACTTTCAGATACAGCAAATACCGAGAACCAGACCAGGTAGGAATCATCAATGATCCTGCTACTCACCAGAACATGCTGAGAGTTGAGCCTCTGCAGCATGGAGCTGTTAGATTGACTGGGTCTAAGAAACTAAATTAAATGTGCTTATTATGTGTTTGTTAATGAGTTCCTGCCTTATGAATGAGCGCAAACAAGTTTCCTCTGCTGAGTTTTGACTGCATTTTTTTATTTGTTCTAATTATTAAGCAACTGTATATGTTTCCATATCCCAAACTAAAAGATGGTTCTTTGGTGTAGTATATTTCTTTAGATGGCAACAGCTTAACAACGGAGGACTTGGTGAATTTAGGAAAGGGACTCTACAAGATAAAGGTAAAGATTCTGAACAAACACAGCTAAAAATGGCATGTTTATCTTTCTACAACTAAATAGTAAGAAATGAACTATATTTAAACTACTTATGTTTTAGCTCACACCTGAAGCTGAAGCTAAAGTCAAACAATCACGAGAAGTGATTGAAAGGATCGTAAAGGAACAGACAGGTAAATATTTTACCTCTAACTATTAATTGTTTAGGAAACTTCATCAGGTTCTCTCCTTAACCAGCAGTGTATGTTTCTTGCAGTTGTTTATGGAATCACCACAGGGTTTGGGAAGTTTGCCAGAACTGTCATCCCCAACAGTAAGCTGAGGTAAGTTATGTGTGTGGCTTTGTCTGTCCTGTCTTTTCAGGAAAGGAAGAAGAGGGAGCAGTTTGACCCTGTACTTGGGTTAAATGAGAGAGCTGCTTCAGTATTTCAAAACTGAAACAGGTTTGTGCAAAATAAAACCTGGTGAGACTTTTTTAGGGTTTAATATGTTTCATTTTTTTCCTGTAGGGAGCTTCAAGTGAACTTGGTTCGTTCACATTCTGCAGGTAATGAGAGATTACTTGATGTTTCGCTTTTCTTCCACTGTTGGTAGTGGATTAGTAACTGAGAGTGTTACTGTTTCAGGTGTGGGGAAACCTTTGACCCCAGAGAGATCTCGAATGCTGTTGGCACTGAGAATCAATGTCCTAGCCAAAGGCTACAGTGGAATATCACTAGAAACCCTTGAGCAAGTTATTGAAGCATTTAATGGTAAAAAGATGTTTAAAGAAAATCATCCTTTCCCTTTTTCCCTTTTAACTGTTTCATTAAAAGGTGTAGCTCAATGAGTGAGGCCACAGATGTTAGTCTTTCAACCTGGTAGTTGTGAGAGATCAGGACCAGAGCTTGGCTGTACAAGCTCACAACTGGAGGCAATTCCTCTGTTGAAGGACATGGGGTATGAGATGACCTCACAGAAAAGTCTGAAAGTGGAAAACAGACAGAAGTTTGGGAAATGATCCTCTGAGAGGTCAGATAATTAGTTGAAGAGTGAGCTTGACTAAGAGCATGACTCTGACTCTGGCTGCACTCTTCTACAACAGCTTATGTCTTTAACTTCTGCCCTGTCAGGTGCTGATGTGTATGTCACCATACTGGGATTCGGTGGGGAGGGGGCTATTACCCTCTAGGAAACTGCATGTGTTGGTTTGTCAAGCAGACCCACTTAAGCAGCACTTACTTTCTTTTTGTGGGTAGATCCCCTGAGACCTACAGCGGTGTTTGTAAGCAAGGGCTACAGGACAGCCACATAAAAGCTCACAGCTAGTGAACAGCTCATATGGCCATGACACTCACAGCAATTCCAGCTGGGTGGCCTTGCTGGGTGCTGCAGCAGGGAAACCAAAGGGGTGGCATGATGGTCCCTCTGGTGAGGCATGCCAGTGTGGCAGTGACAAGCAAAGAGTACCTACTATCTATGTTAGAATGTTAGGTTCAACACTCCTCTTTTTTTCCTAAACCACAGATTGGAAGATTGTTCTGAGACTATTGACCATGAGTATGAGCCAAGGGCCATGTTCATTCATTTGGGCCCCAAAGGGTACAGTCTCTGTGCTGTACTCTGTTACACCCTCCTCCTCCTCCTGCAGCAGGTGAAGGAGCTGCAATTCAGTGTTTAGCTCTGCAAAAGAAGAGGAACAGAGTGGTCTCTGCCTTGCTTTTTTCTGCAGTTTCCCAAGCTCCATTTCTTCATTTCCAACTGTTTCAGTGCCCAGAGGACTACAGTGGGGGCATGAGGGCTGAAAGATGGTTTCTAAGAGTAACTCAGTGTTTAGTGGAGTGAGAAATGAAGAGGTAGCTTTGTCCACACTGGGCAGTGTGGACACACCCTGTGATGGAGAGATATGATGCTGTACCTACCTGGCTGTGTGGCTGTGGATGCAATGACCCTGGGCTATGGTCCCCCAGTGTAGTCCTGCAGGATGTTATTGTGACCACACTCATGAGCTTCCTTCTCTGTTTTCCAAGGAGTGTATCAAGAGGAAGCTC